GGGGGGGGGCTGTCTTGTGGAGACACAGTAAACTGTCTGTGTCTCCACAAAAACACAGGCACAGCAAGGCAAGCCATTCCTCTCCTCCCTTATATGACTATAAGTGCTTGGGTAAAAATTTAGAGACATACTTTGCTGGCTAATGTATATTTGTTTGATCTGATTGATTCATTATTGAAAAAAAGATTGAAAGTGTAATACTACTTTAACCCTTGCAGTGCAGAGGTAGCTTCTCTGCAAGGGGATTTTTTTTTTTTTTACGTGGGAGGTTTTAAACTATAACAACTTTCCCTGACATGAGTTCAGAAGAATCAAATCCGATTGGTTGCTATGGGCAACACTGTACAACAAGATTTATAGTTGCCAAGTGTCCCTCTTTCGGCAGGACATATGTTGCATATTGTCCAATACCAGCCATGTTCCAGCAGGAAAGGGATAATACTTTATTTGCCATGGCAGGGGCAATGAAAATCAAACTGTCATTTTTTTCCTGGTGCAGGAAAGTGTCCCGATTGTGTGGTAAGTAAAAAGGTCAGCACACCAAACAGCTTGAGATTATGGGGTTAGGGCGTTTCCCCATAGTTCTCCTAAGGGTAACGGGAGGACACAAACTAGCATCCTCCCGTCACCCTAAGCTCAGTATACCGCGAGCTACAGCTCGTGGCATACTGAGACGCCGCAGCTGAAACTGATCCCGACAATTATGTCTGGATCCACCCAGCTGCGTAAGTGACAGCTGGCTCTGCCTATCTTGAGGCAGAGCCAGCTGTACCCGCGCTGGAGGATCGGACCCAGCGCTGGAGGATCGGAGCGGGGAGGGGGGAATCCAGTCCCTCCACTATCACGGCTCTCTGCCGTGACAGGATCGAGAAGTGAGCGAACGCCGGTATGTGTTCGCTCACTTCCCGATCTACTGAGCCGACCTGTGACAGTTTCATTGAAAAGCACTCACCTCATAGTTCTCCTTTAAATATGCATATATTATATCAGAATCACATAACATAAATAGTAAACAAAAATCTGATATATAAGGCAGAACAAAAAATATTTATTTAAAAAACTACAAAGAATAGTAAATGAACAGGTGGGATGAGACTTGATAAATGAATATTAACCCCCAAAATGTGGCCAGTTGTGCTTCTAACTCCCTACTGTTTAAGTATTGTGATCTGGTATTGGATATTTTGTACCTACACGCTCTTCAATCTGTTCTTTATATGTTTAGCTGCTAGGTTTCTCTGTTCCCTTGTTTAGCTCAGTGCCAGTTCTAAGACTGACCTGTGTTCATGTACTATTCTTTATACTTTTTTGCATTGTATTTTTGTACTGCCTTATACAGTATATCAGATTTTTGTATACTATTCATGTTACATGATTTTGATATAATATATGCATATATAAAATGTATTTGGTGTTTGAGGGTACTCTGAGGAAACCCCTGTTTGTTCTAGCAACAACTTTTCTACTAGTTACAATTTTTTTGCCTTTGTTAACCACTTCCGGGCCGGCCGTAGTAAAAAAACGGCTCTAACATAATGTAAAAAAAAACTTTTTTTTTCAAAATTTTCTTTAATTTTTCCTAATTATAGTAAAAAATAAAAACCTCAGTGGTGATTAAATACCACCAAAATAAAGCTCTATCTGTCCCCAAAAAATGGTATAAAATTCATTTCAGTACAGCGTTGTATGACGGAATAAACTTCAGTCAAAGTACTGCAGCGCTGAATACTGAAAAATGGCCTGGCCAGGAAGGGGGTCTAAACACCTGGTCTTGAAGTGGTTAAACGATGCTTAAATGGGTGTACATGTCCTATTATTATTACTAGGTTTCCTAATTTTTCCAGGAATATTGGCAATTGCACTTTACACTAATTTAATGAGGTCTGTGATCTAGGATTTCTTCTTTAGCTATTTGATTTGTTAAATAAAAAGTGCAAATAAAGTAATTTAACCCCTTCGTGACTGACGACGTACAGTGTACGTCGCCAGCATCGGGGCTGTTTAAACAGACTCTCGGCGACTTTTGCCGCCGGGACTCTGTTTAAACTTGTAGAGCCGATACCTGTGCATAGAATCCATTCTAGAAAATCATCATTTAGCAAGACAGTTCTCAGAATCCGACTGAATACCATCAATTGGCACCATGAAATTCCAGAAGTTGCCAGGCCATTCAAGTGTGTGATAAATGAAGCACACATATGCGTACTGCTGTCTTGCAAGGTATGAGTGGCATGTTATAAGCATTAAATTGATGATAGAAGACTCCAAGTCAAGATAAGTGATGAGGAGTGAGAAGCTAGGGATAAGTGGTGCAGAAAAAGAGATGAGCAAGAGATGATGAAGGATGATTAATAAGAGATGAGGAGAATGGTAAGTGAGCATGATAAATTATAAGTAATGAACAAGACTACAGTAGCTGTTTTCTGAAATATAGTTTAGTTTTCTACTGGATACTTGGTGATTGTTGGATCAGTGTTGCCATAATAAATGAGACAATCAACGGAAAGTAACAAAATTCCACATTCTGTTGTCCATGTAAACTTGCTACATGTTGTTTTTGAATCCTGGTAAAGTCAAGAGGTGATTTGGTCATTTGCACGATACTTGGTATGTGAAATTAACAAGATGATTCTCGTTTCATGAACCTTTCTTAAAAATAAGTTATTTTTCTCTTAGCATCACGCTCAGCCTTCATCTACTGTGTGTAGTAACAGCACGGGTCACATCTGTTCATTTGTGTAACCTTTCACATAAGACTACAGAAAAATATCCTGGTAACCAAGTGTTCCTCTCACTGCATCACTGGTCAATGAGATAAATAAAGCCCACATGTTCTCTTCTCACAATTACAGCCAGACATTAGTACATGCTCAGAGAGTTTACTTTGCTATTTTCAAAGCTGCTATCTTTTAGAGTATTAGAACTAGTGCATTACATGTGATAAAGAAATAGCCTTAATGGTTTCTCTTCATAATGTTCCAGCTGCTGCATTGAGCAAAGTTCATAAACAACCCTTTA